TTAGCGGACTATAGTCACTCGTTTTACCAGCATGGATGCATTGAATACTTAATTTACCTTTCTAAAAAACTGTCGAATATCCATGCTGTCGACTCAACCTGACTTTCGGCAATGAACTGTCAGTTGTTGCGTTAGCATTTGATATGGCGATGGTGACAGACACGTCAAATGCTAACGCAACACCTGTTGCGTTCAGGAAACCTGGGAGATTTAACATTACAATAATGGCAGGGTATCGAAATATAATTTAAAATGGCCACATTCCATTGAATTTGATGCAATATATTAGCAAAAGTACAGGAAAAATAAATAATACTTTTTTTTAAATAATGCAATGAAATTATTTAGGGGGGCTAAAGACATTTTTAGGGAGGCTGAAGCCTCCCTAAAATAGGCCTAATGACGCCCATGGCTGTGAGTGATTATTTTTATTATCTTCTATACCAGTGTATTTGGATATATGATGTGTCAGTGAAAAAGATGATATGGGAGATTAATTTCTTCAGAGGGTGGTGAAACCGTGGCTATAATTGACAAAATAAAAAGACATGAGGAAAACTCAGACATAGTTAATATGCACAATGGCCAATTCATTAGCTGGGTTTATATTGCATTCGCATTTCTTTAATGTATTCAGGACACAAAGCACTCAGTGAATTATCGACAAGTAGCTGAACTTTAAAAGGCAAACTGTGGAGTAATTTCAGAAAACCCCAAGTGAAATATTTTTATGTCACCAGTGAAGTAATTAGACAAAATAAATTGAAGCATGAAAAAAAACCATCTTTTTCTTTCATAGTTTTGACAAAAGTAATCATTTTCCAGAAGTGAAACCCTGGCCAGAGACAAATCCAAAAGTGTGACGTCAATTCAAGAGCAACAATGGCACAGCTGAATGTGGAAAGTGCACAAAGCCAGTCAGAAATGATTTTTCAAACTTCTCTGAGGGGATCCAGGTATTTGAAGAGTTGGAGGAAGAGGAGGTTGTTGACACTATTTATTTTGGACCATACATGTAAGAACCAGATGCTCAGGATTTGGGAAATGTTGTGCCCAAACAACCGGACATGGAGCGGAGAAGAATGGTAAGCTATATAAGCTGCAGTTATTAGCCTAGCGTTCTTGTTTTCAATTCATAGTGGGTGCGTGTCCTACATGGTCATTGCTAAGGTATCGGTATTTCTGTTGCATTGTTGTCCACTCCGCACAATATATTTGCAGCCTTCTACAGCATTGTTAGTTCATTGTTAGCTGCAAACCATTACAGAGAATCTCATCCATGCAGTCATATTTTGAATGTTTTCGTATTGGACCATACATGTATGAGCCAGATGCTGATGATGCGGAAAATGTTGTGCCCTAATGGCCGGACATGGAGTTGAGATGAGACCCATCAGGACTGGAAGAACGCTAAGCTATTTCGTCCGCCGTTATTAGCCTAGCATTATTGTTTGCAATTCGATGCTGTGCCATGTTGTAAATTGCAGGCAATGGGATGACCTACTTGGTCCAAGTATTCCCGCTCGCACTGAGAGCACAGTGCTCTCAGGTCCTGTGCCTGCCACCCGTCCCTGGTCCGGTGGCGTAGGGCCTGTGGCCACCACCCATTTTTGTTCTGGCTGGGCAAGTTCTGCAGCTGCCATCCGTTCCTGTTTTGGTGGTCCACATCCTGTGGCCGCCATTTGCTCCTGTTCCAGCGGGGCACGTCCTGCGGCTGCCACCTGCCCCTGTTCTGGCACTGCACGTCCTGCGGCCACCACTGGGTGACTTTCGAACATCTGGGACCCGTCCGTTGTGGGGGAGGGGATGGGCACTGTCATAGTTCTGTTTGTTTGTTCTCTGAGTAGGTGGGATCGGAGGGTGCTTCCTCCAGCACCACACCTGTTTGTCATTGTCATCATCATCACCTGCCTTCTGAAGGACTGCCACGCCGACCACTTGCTGTCGGATCGTTGTGTTACTGTCATGTTGTTTTAATTGTGTTTTATCATCGTGGTGTGTTTTACTTCTTGGTGTTTTGTTGGTGTGCTGAGTTTTTTTGGTCTTTGTTGTTGCTTTCGATTTAGTTTTTCCAGAGTGCCCCAGAAAATGTTTTGATTGATACATTTCGTTTAGTACACCCTGCTTCTCCTGCCTCCCTGCTTTTGGGTCCTCTGCCGCGCACAAACATGCTTTCTACCGTCTTTGTTACCGATTTGCTTTACTGTTTGTTGTATATGTTAATTGCTCCATGTACAGCACTTTGTATGCAGCGACGGCTGTTTGAAAGTGCTCTATAAATACAGTTGAGTTGAGAATACCTGATCTTGACCTACAGGCAGTGCAGAGTAAAAAAAGTAGGCTTGACTTTGCATCCCGCAAAAACTGTCAAATGTTGACCAATTGAGTTTCATACAATGACCCTGAAGCCATCGATTTAATCTATCTTTTTTTTTTTTGTGTTCACGTGAGATTTTAGGACAATGATTTCTAGATTTTGTTTCAATTTTGGGGAAATTATGCAGGAAAACGAGGGCGAGATTTGGATAAACAAGCAGGAAATCGCAGCAGTTACACATTGACTTCCACTTGGAACACAACCTCAACACAAGGAGTACGTGACAACGGCAGGCATAGGAGTCTTCTATCTTGGAACGGGTGACAAAACCTGAGGTGAGATTCTTCTTAACTGCCAAAATGTCATTTCAATTTCATCATTAGGAGGCAGTGCAGGCAGTACTTCCATCATCAGTGTTCATTGATTTGACATCCTTTGTGATTGTATTGGGATGCATGAGAAAAACAAAACAAACAGGCCTGGCCTATAAACAAAGTACAGGTATGTTTGTTTCACAAGAATTGTTTGACTATCAGCCTAGCTCCTGTCACTCAGTGGTCACCACAGAGATTAACTTGCATGATATATTAAGCATAGTTTATACGTAATACACGTTACCCTAGCGACCCAACCACGACAGTGGCTGGGAGAGGAAGCATAAAGAATGATTGTCAGAAAAATAAAGCTCAGGAAAAACATTCATAGACTCCCACACTCCCCTGCAAAAAAATGGACCCCTTTTAGTGCTTGTCATTTTTTTATTTTCTGCACATAAATGTTCAGAGGTTTAACATTTGTAATTTAGAATTTGGGATTTAGGTTGTAAGTAGTTTATAAAATAAAATGAGTGTTTGTGTGTACGTGTCCATTTCAGCAATGGCACGATACCAAAGACTGGAATTACTGCTGGTGTGTTAGGCCACATGTTGGGGCGGGTATAATTCTGGTCTATCGCTCCGAAGGAAGCCACTGGATCAACATGAAAATTGTGGTGGAAGCACTTCACTCTCAAGGTCGTGAAATCACAGTGCTGTGAATCTCCACCAGCTGGCACATATTTGAGAAACAGCCCCACTACACCTCCATCACCATCACAATTTAGTTCAGCGCTTCTGTTTAGGCCAGCAGAGAAGTCTAACCGCTAACTACAATGCAAATATTTGTCAGGATTGCTCTTACATGGAAAATGAACATTGAGGGAGTCAAAGTTAAGCGTCATCCTCTGCTGGTGGAACGGGGGAGGTGAAACTACCACATTCAAACTAATTAATTAATTCACAAAATAAAATAAAACAAATTTAAAAGTGTCGAGAGGGGCACATGTTTCAGGGCTACAAACATGAAGATATAGTTGTGCATTTTAGTGAAGATTGCTTTTTTGAATGATGTTTTGAAATCTAATTTTAGTCTGGACAGAAACTGGTGTTGACAACAATAAAGTAGGGATTAAAAAATAGTCAGGGTTTTTTCATTTAAGACTGAATTTTTTTTTTTTAACATTAGGCCTAAATTATACCAATAGATTCAAAACTTAAGTCAGTA